CTGATGAGTCCCTTGAGATGACCGTCTTAGACATTCTTGGTGACAAAATTCTGAAGTCCCCAATCGATGCACCTTTTGATGTAATTTTCTGACCAACCATAAAACAGATAGTAGATTGTAATATTAGTAGTAGTGGGGGTAGCCATGGTAGTGGTGATGTTTGAATGAGGTGGTAGTTACAGGGTTGGGATGATGGAGTTAACATCTTTTGCATATCTTAGTGTTGAATTCTGTGTGGTGGAAATTACAATAATGGCCTGATATGAGAAGAGCCCTGTGAAAGGTTCCTATGCCTTGTCCTATTTTGTGACCTCTTCTTGTTGATTGGGTTATTTAGGTCATATATGGGTCGCAGGGGTCCAAGTTTTGAGCTTGTATGTCTTCTGGCCTTGGTTTTGATGTTTCTTAATCATGATGTTAACATTGCAAATCACCTGAGTGGAATCATTTAGGGTCACCGCTAACTTGGGTGATGTGTGGAATAGAGATACCTTAGGAGCATTTTTGTTCAACTACTATTTTATTATTTTTCTAATGGAAAATCTTTGATTTTAACAGATTTTGCAGCGGCTGGTTTCCACCTTGGACCGTTGTGCTTCACGTACTTGTTCTTTACCTGTCGATTTTGTGGAACTTATGCCTTCCCACTGCAGCAGATTTTCCTTGACTTGTTTACAGAAGCTATTTTCCTTGAGCAGGTAATGTATTAAATAGGGTTGTCTTCTACTTATATTTTACCTTCTGATGTATGGGAGTATTGATTTACACTGTCCATTAAAGTATTTTACCAGGTTGACCATTTTAGGTCCTGGACAAACTCCTCTCGATAAGATGGTTCCAGTTATATCTGTGCATTCCCTAGTAATACCATCATAAGAGTCTTATAAAATACTAAAACCATCATAGGAGTCTTTCTTTTTCTTTCTATTTAAAACATCCAAACAAAAGAAAGTAACAATGTAATATTTATTTACCATTCTATGCCCTCTTCATTACTATTTTACTTTCTGCTCCATTTCTTCAAGTCTCCTAAGCATACTCTTAATAATGTCTAAACCTGTTCACATCCATTTTCTTTAAAATACAATATTTTCTCACAGTATTTTATGTACTCAGTTATGACAACAAATCCAATGATTGGAATTCAGCTAGATATGAGGTGAGCAAAATTGCAATCATGGTACTCATAACCAGATGCGAATACATCTTGAGCAGATTTCTGATTGACGAGAATGACTTAGGTGCGTATGTTATGTTTAACGATATCTTCCTATTATCACTTGTTTAAAGAATAAACAAAACAAAAAATCTTAGTATCTTGTATTATCATGTCTTTTTCTGCAGGTGGTCGCCCATTGCCATCGGCAAGACTTGAAGAAATTATTTATGTTCTTGAAGAGTTGGCTCATCTGATAATTCATTCAGATACTGCATTGGTTCTTCCCTTGCAACCGCATTTGAAAAGTGCCCTAGAAAAGGAAAAGAATCATGACATGCGTCCACACCTTGTTGTTCTATTTCCCTCCTTATCCGAGCTTGTAGTATCAAGGTGAGTAATACTTCTTTTCTTTTTATGAAAATGATATGGGACATAGTTGAAATAATATTGAGACGGAGAGTGTAAAATGGGGGAATTACTGTCAATTAATATCTTTAAACCTATATATTAGTTCACTTACAAATTACCAGTCATAAGCTTGTAGTCTAACTGTAAAGCTGACCACGGTATCATAATATTATGATGATTATGTGGTGGATTGGGCAGCAGATGACATTAAAGGGAGTTTTCCCAGTATGACACAGCATATTAGTTAATCAGAGATTAACGGCAGTAGAAGTGAAGTAGACTCAAAAGAACGTAACTGGAATTTTTTGAGAGAGCAGGCAATGTAACTGGAATCGTGGAGAACTTGAATCTGTTGTCTAGAGAGAATAATGGCAAGATCCATTTAAAATATCTCAAATGTGGCTGGCATCAAATTAACTAACTAAAAAGATATGAGAAATATCATGCACTTATCTTGAAACTGCCAGTGCTCCGACTCGGGTAATGAGACGTAAATTTATAAAGCATGCATGTATACATTGAATTCTTTTTTCATATTTTATGCTACATTGTACCAAGCGTGCTCATCGCATGTTGTTTCTTTATCCTTTTGTTGAACAGAGAAGCAAGAATAAGAGGGTCCGTTCAAGTCTTATTTAGGCTCATCGCCAAAGAATTGGGTCTAAATAGAGTTTCTATAAGCAGTGAAAATGCCGAAGAATTCATACCAAGTACACAGCAACCCTAAGTTAGTTTCATGATCTAAGGTTCTTATTTATCTTTTTCATTTTTTGTCTTTACTGGTGGTGGTTTGATGACGAATTTTCCATTAGCGAGGGTCATATAGTTTGTACATTGTATCAATTTTGTTGTATTCAAAACACTACCTCAGGGGAAGTAAGTTCTAAGGAATCAAATTTCCGATTCTTTTGAAACCGAAAAAGGTTATCCGATTCTTTGGTGCAAATATGCTTTCGAAGGCTTTGCGACTCGTTTCCAAGGCTTTGCATTGCGGTTCCAACTTAAATATGGCAACTTGCCGATATACTTTAATTGGGCTTCACCAATTTTTTGTTTTGTGCATACTATAATTGTTTCAAAGGCTTGTCCTAGTAAAATGCTTGAATCACATGTGATTCCAAAGCATCACTATTTTCAGTTCCAATTGTAAATGCCTGAATTGCTCATAATCATTGGGTTTGTGCGAAAAGTGTTAGCATTTTGTTCAACCAGGAATTGCTCTAGATAATAGTCGACTTGATTTGTTTTATTTTCTTTGCCAAACGTATTGCCCTCCCTTTATCTTCCAGATTACAGAAAAAATATATTCTTTCTATTCATCTTTACTTTTTTGAGTCGATTTAAAAATTCGTACGAACACTAGGTCATTTATTCATCAATGGCCCCTGTTTTAGAAGAAAGCACAAGCGCTCTCACCCCCTAGATTGAAAAACAATGCATGTCTAGTAAAAGTGACAAACCAACCCTCCTTTATATACGCTTATATTGCTAGTTCTAGGCCAAACCCAAATACAAACACCCAGACAAAGCAGTGACTTCTTGTGCGAGCTATTTTGGCATTTCGTTACTATTGGTCTGGTTGAGCCTCGCTGCTGCTGCCACCGAAGCTGCCACGCCCGTTGGGTGTGTAGTCAGAAACGGATCATTTCTCATCTCTGCACCCGTCACCCCCTCGGCATCTCGACGTGTTGCCGGTTTGTCTGCTGGCAATTTTGAAGTAGCATCCTGCAATTTAAACACAACACCGCCAAACGTCGCATACATCAACATGGACGTCCACCACAAAAAGTTTAAACAAATTTTCCTGGCTATCTATATATATACCGCTAGAATGTCGGCGAGTTTCGTCTTTTCTTCGTCCTTCGTAGCCCGAGCGTTGAGGGTTGCTGCCGACTGAGCTGCGGCCGCCACACCACCGGGCACAATGTTGGTTCGGCCAGTGGCTCTGACTTCGGCTGCTTGAATTGCAGCGGCATCACTCCACTCCACCGGTTTCTGTCCGGCTGTCATAGCAGTGGCCTCCAGGGCTTCACCAATGGTTATTTGACCACCAGGCCCCCCAGCTTGAATGGTGTTTGGCGCTGCCAAAGGAGCTCTCTGGCTGTATTGCCCCACAGCCTACCCTTCACAAACAACAAACATAAACGTATATACATGTATTATATATTTATGTTTCCATGTGCAAGTTGCAAGCAATGAAAAAACCAAAACATTCACCCCAACCAATTAATCAACGAAAGAAAAATAATAATAATAAAAGCAAGGAGTTAACAAATACTTTCTTTAGAATTTTATTATTTTGAGTTCAATATTCAAAGAAAATGATGCTTCCCGGTGTTATGTTTAGTAGGTGCTTGCTTTCAATTTGTATAGATTAATATTACGCAGTAGTGGTTAATTGGTTTTGAGGTCAAACTTTATACCTCAACCAATTCATAGATTTTCCTTTGCTTTTCATGATCTACATTCCTTGTATTTGAATCCAAACCCTAAACCAATCAACAAGGAACCGAATAAAAGAAGAAACATTGAAAACAAAAGACAAGTACTGTTAAAATTATGTGAATATCTGTATATATTTATACACAAAGGAAAGGGATATATGGGACCTGTCCAGCGATTGATTCTGTTATTATACGGCGTCCCGGGAGATCAGCCTCCTTAACGCTAACGCCGCCCTCGTCTCCTGTAACAATATTGGCATTCATGTCATCGGGACCCACCACCCCAGCCTTCTCGTTCTGCCTGGCGGCTGCCTGCAAGGTTGCGGCTGCACCGCCCTTGATGGTCTCCCCAAGCACAGCATTCTCGGCCGCCTGCATGATGGCTGCGTCCTTGGGCGCCACCACCTTGTCCGCCAGCTCACCGCCGGGAAACACGTCCCCATATTTCACGGCTTCCTTCTGATCCTCGGGCTTCCGCGGCTGTTCTTGGCTCATTTTGTAATTTGATCCAAATTCCTGGACTATTATTAGCAACAGCTTTGAGCGAAATTTGTCAAATCTTTGTAAAGAAAATCAAACGGGGATTGGGGAAGAGGGGGCTTTTAATGTACGGTACGTGCATGGTGGCATGGGGCGTTCAACGTTTGGACACGTTGGTGCTCTGAAGGTGACACGTGGAGAGTACTTGGCGAATTTTCAGCTGAACTGTTGGTTTCGAAAAAAAAGTCTTGGCGTACATGGTCAAGGGTACGACACGTGGCTTAGACACAAAAGATAATGACTGGGTCCAAGTCATAATAACTGCGCCGAGCTAGGGTCTAATTCGGTATTATACTCTGGAAAATAACCCAGTAGGAGTAGCCCAATAATCCACACCCCAAAGTCCTATACTTCCAGGCCCAGACTTATCAGCCCACCCAAAGCGGGCCCACTAAAGTTTTCTTTCTTTTCTCTCCTACTTCTTTCTCAATGTTCTCTTCGTCCTACTTCAGCCAAGCCAAGCAGCCAAGCCTCCCATCTCCTGTTTTCTGTGTGAAGTTAACTGAGGACGTGAGCTGCCAATTCTTCTTTAGGTAATGTTTCTCTTTACAATCTCTGTGTGTTGAAGTTAGGGTTGGTTGAATTATTGAACTGTGTATTTAATTGAATTTGTTTTGTTTTGTTATAGAATCTCTGAGAGAGACAGAGAGAGGGTCTGAAATGGAAGCTGAGAGAAAGCTGTCGGTGGAGGCAGAGGCGATATTCAGAGAAGGCGTAGCATTGGTTCTGTCTCGGTGGTCGGCGCTCCAATTGGCCGTCGACAACGAGTGGGGCGGCCGTGACTCTCGCCGCAAATCGGAGCAACTCGCCGCCGACGTCTTCTCCTGGTTCACTCAGTCTAAAGGTACTTTTCTCAACTCGCTCACCTCAACTCTCTCGTTCGTTCTGATTGCTATGATGAAAAGGAATGGGTTTTCTGATATAGCTACCCTATTTGTGTTGATTTTGCTCAGAGGTTCTTTACATAGATGACTTAGAAGATATTCTGAATGAAGCTATGCTTTCTCTTAATACCGTGACAGAGGATGGCAGCATTGAGGAGGTAAGCATTTCAACACTTAACAATATCTTAATAGATTATACGAGAGACTTAATATGCTATGCTTGTGGTGGGAAACTCAAAATTTATTGCTTGCTCCATAGATTGTGTGACTCAAAGTGGGCAACCATTACAAATGTTTGTGATGTGTGTGTCTCAGACCACCTGGCCGACTATTTGACTTTTAGAAATAAGATCTTTTAGCTTTGTTATATTGGAGAAGATTTTATATGTTATGCTTCTGCTTGTATATTTCCTCGGATAGACAATTTATGAGGAGGATCAATTTCATGTGAACTTCTTTACCATGTTTGCTATTGGTTTTCTATCTTGATGGTGTTTATGATCTCTCTATTTGGATCTTCATAGGTAGCTGAAAAGTTAATGTTTATGAATGAAGAATGTTTGAATGGTGATTTCAAGTCTGTTGAAAGCCTAAGAGAATCCAATCATCGAAGAGTTGCTCTTCCTCATGTTAAACAGGTGAGTTATATTCAACACCCTCAGCCTGAAAAGTTTTACTTCAATAAGACATATATTTTTTTTGGGTGGTTTTTTACTATTAATCTTATGACAAAATGTGAGTAGACATAGGAAAAGGGACTGCGTCATTTGATAACATAATACACATATTATTACCAGTAATGTGCGTTAAGAAGTCACTTGTTCATGGTTCTATTTGAAGAAAATCTCAATTGTTGATAGATATGAATTGGTACACCACATAACCATTAACTTTTGAGGGTGATGGTGATGGTGGAGATTGTGCTTGTAAATTGACAATCCTGGCAAGATATGAGAGGCTGGTGCTATGTTTAGGTCTAGAGTTTGACTCTAGTTGGGGGTATCAGCATGTAGGAAAGACAACAGCTACCTTACTGCCTACTAATGTCATGTTATAAAGGTGTGCATCGGTATTTATTGTTATGTTGCAATTTATGCAATGAAGGTGGCATGCTCCTATGAGAAGTCATCCCATATTAAACATACTTTGTTGAATTGTTAAATTGTCGACTGTACCTGTAAAGAAACCATCGACCTTACGACTGCTGATGTGGTAATTGTTTTGTGAATGCATTTTCCTTGGATCTTAAATTTGTATCACTCTATTCCATGCTGTTGCCAACTTTTAGTCTAGTTTAGAGAACCCCTTTTGGACACTGGGTTCATGGGAGGTCTTTGGACTGCAACCGTTCATGCTGGATAACCTTGCCTGTTCATATGAGTTATGTTCTTTTGCTTTTTCTTTTGATTCCTTACTCATTTAGGGGAATCACGATGATGATGATGATGACGACAATGAAAGAGATGATACCCTCGAGAATGATGGTCCGTCAAACATGATGGTGGACACACCAGAGTCCCAGTCAAATTCAAATCTAGTAGACATGACAGACAATAAACCAACTCCCAAGCCGGCAGCTAAAACAGAAGATGGATGGGAAGTAGTTGGACCAAGGCGTAATAAGGGTAAAAGGAATTAGGTTGAACTCCTAACTATACTTCCCTAAAAAATTTTGCCATTTCTATCTCTGTGTCAAGTAGAGTTTCTGTAATAGTATATTGTTTGATTATGGTGATAATAGCTGGTTGGTTTGTTTTGTTTTTGCCTATTTGCCCTGTATTATTTTTCCTTGGACCATAATGACAGAATCATATTTGAATCTCTCTGACAATGGCATACAAGACAATTGAATTTGGGAGTTGTAGTAGCCTAACCAATTGGGCAATAATTGAAGTCGAACAAACAGAGACAGAGATCCAGGCTACTTCTATTGCATCAGCTTCATACTTAGTCCAAAAAAACCCAAGTTAGCAAGTTAACTTTCCATAAGCTCATATTATAATGTATGCGACAGAAAATCAAATAGAAATAGCAGTCGAATACTTCTCTATTTGAGTGAAACAAAAGAATGAGCGCAATTTGAGCTTGAGAATTGGATGCCTAGTTAAAATCATACTTCTTGAGCTTCACTGCAACTCTTCGAATGAACCCTTTTTAGCTGCAAACTTCACCGGCCCTCTCAAAGATAACGATAACCCTCCGATTTCCTCTCTCAGATTACCCAAAATATTTTACAATATAAAAATAATCACCACATTTGCTTTTTTCCAATCAACCTCATCACCATACCAACTCTGCTTTCTCAAACCTGCGCCCCTCCTACTCCAACTCTTCCTATTTCTCCTACTACAATGAACATTGTCGTTTCCTTCCTAATTTTTACCTCACACGTCATCTACATCCTTCCATTTATTTCATCTCAAGTAACACACCTGCCCTACTCCAGCAACCTAGGCCAATGGCACCTCCTTCATTCATCCATAGGCATCTCCGCCATGCACATGCAACTCTTACGTACAAACATGGTCATCATGTTCGACCGGACCGACTACGGCCGCTCCAACATCTCCCTCCCCCGCCGCCAATGCCGGCATGACCCCAACGACACCTTGCTCAAAGTAGACTGCACGGCTCACTCCATCCTCTACGACATCGGCACCAACACACTCCGGCCCCTAACCGTACAAACCGACACGTGGTGCTCCTCCGGCGCCGTCTTCCCCGACGGAACCCTAGTCCAGACCGGCGGCTACAACGACGGCGACCACGTGGTCCGCACGTTCACTCCATGCACGGGCGACAATTGTGATTGGCTCGAATTCCCAAATTACTTGGTACAACGTAGATGGTACGCCAGCAACCAAATATTACCAGACGGTCGTATAATCATTGTCGGAGGCAGACGACAATTCAACTACGAATTCTACCCGCGCAGTTTCCAAAACCCTCCTCGCACTTTCTGGCTCGATATTTTGAGACAAACAAAGGACCAAGACGAGAACAACTTGTACCCATTTCTCCACCTCTTACCAGATGGGAACTTGTTCATTTTCGCAAATACCAAATCAATACTCTTCAACTACAACCAAAACGTCGTCGTTAGAGAGTTCCCCGAAATACCCGGTGGCGAGCCTCGTAATTATCCAAGCACCGGCTCCTCGGTGCTGCTCCCGTTGGACGAAAACAAACCCGCCAATGTAAACATTGAAGCCGAGATAATGGTCTGCGGCGGAGCGCCGCGCAACTCGTTCGTGCTCGCTTCCCGTGGAGAGTTTATCGACGCACTCGGCACGTGCGGGCGGCTCAAGGTGAGTGACCAAAACCCCTCCTGGGTAATGGAGGAAATGCCGGTTCCCCGAGTCATGGCCGATATGCTTCTTTTACCAACCGGAGACGTCGTTATCATAAACGGCGCCGCACTAGGCACTGCCGGATGGGAATACGGGCGTGACCCGGTAACCAAACCGGTCATATATCGGCCGTCAGAGAATCCGAACAGGCGTTTTTCGGTCATGGCCGGTTCGCAGAGACCGAGACTTTACCATTCCGCTGCTGTTTTGGTACCGGATGGCCGGGTCTTAGTCAGCGGAAGCAACCCGCATGTTTACTATAACTTTACCTGCGTCGAGTACCCGACGGATCTTAGTCTGGAGGCCTTTTCTCCTCCGTATACGTCGGTGGAATACGAACCGGCTCGGCCGAGAATCGTTTCGGTAAAAGAGGTTTTGGGCTACCGGCAGTTCTTTTCGGTTGCGTTCGCCGTGCCCGAGTTGTTGTCTGTGAGTGTATTGTCGGTGAGGCTGGTTGCGCCGTCGTTTACGACACACTCGTTCGCCATGAATCAGAGAATGATTGTGATGAAGCTGATCGGAGTGACGCGCGTGGCGCCGGAGACGTATGAGATTAGCTTGGTGGGGCCCTCGACGGGGGAGATTGCGCCGCCGGGTTATTATTTGCTGTTTGTGGTGCACGCTGACATCCCGAGTTCTGCTGCGTGGGTGAAGTTGCAGTGAAGGAAATGCCGACAACATCTGAGGGACGTGCTGCGTGCATTATATACTTCAATTTTAACGGTCAATAAAAGTACTGAATAAAATGTACATAAAAATAAATAGTGAAACAGAATGTTCTTGGTGATAGTTTGGTCTTCTCTGGACTGGGCTTTTATATTTTCAGTCTCTTGCAGGCCGCAGCTGCTTCTTTTATGGCCCACAAACAATTTCTTTTTAAAATTATTTTGACGTCCATTTTCAAAAGCGCGTAAAAACACCCTCGAAAAATCTGAGCACCTTCTATGACGTCGGCGCCATTGCCACGTAGGTCGTAATCCTTTGACACAAATGCCACTGTCGTCGCGGTGGCGTAATCGCAATGGAGCGTTTACTAATCCGCTCTCAATCACGTACCGTGGGAAAGGGCCCATGTCGTAATTTCAACAAAGACCACGCCCATTTAGTTACCGGCCAATATATTATAACCACTGCCTTTAGTTTTCCCTCCGAGAACGCCCTCCTCTGACCTCAAAGACCAAACCAACCAAACAGAAAAATTGAGAGAGAAAGTGAGGGAAAGTGAAAGAAAACAGAGACAGAGACAGAGAGATAGACAGCAAAAAATAAAAATAACCTCATAACCTTACCGCTGCTGACTGACAAAGTAGAGAGAAGAGAGGCGGAGAGAGATGAAGCACATTTTTAAGAAGCTTCACATAGGAAGCAACCACGACCCCAGCCGATCGAACGAGCCCTCGACCTCCGTAGCGTCGCCATCATGCGCGGCAGATCACCGTACAGTTTCTGGTCAGACATCTGGAAACCCAACGGGGAGTCCTCCATCGTCTTCGCCGACGCCGGCGAGCACCGTACAAACTCCCGGAGCTGCCACTGTGGACTCGACGACGACTGTGAATCGGCCAGACTATATGATGTCGGAGGAGGATTTTCAGGTCCAGCTCGCCCTAGCGATCAGCGCCTCCAATTCGGACTTTCGCGATGATCCGGAGAAGGATCAGATCCGTGCGGCGACGCTGCTGAGCTTGGGCGGCCATCAGATCGATTCGTCGAGAGATAAGGTTGACGCGGCAGCTGCCGAGACCTTGTCGAGGCACTATTGGGTTAGTTTGGTGAAATATTTTTTAGTTCTAATTCAGTAAGTTCTGATCAATTATGTAGAATTTGCGTTTAATTTGGGATTATTGGCTATCAGGGCAAGCAAATTTTACTGTTAATTGAGTTTGACTATTGTCGTACGGTTGACTGTTTGGAGTTTGCTCAATTCACTGTTATGTTAAGCAAGTATCTGGTTCGTTGAAGTATAAGAATCCTGCTAGTAGCTCAGTAGTGAATTCGAGCATGTTCTGTAATTCCTGGTGTTTTAATAGACTGGATTTTCTTTTGATGAGTTTTATTTTGGAATGATCAGCTTACTGCTGAAATCGGTGGAGCTCAGCTTTTTTTACTCTCGTCTTGAGTCTTGGATTATAAATGTTCGAATTTTATTTAGGAAAGAGTATTAATGAGAGCCTTCTGACAATGCCATGATATGTTAAGGTGCTCAACACTAAGGATTTCATCGATATTCTAAAAGTTTTATTGAGTAAAATAGGAAAATCTGCCATTAATTGATCAGGAGTTGATTTTGTCGATCAGGGAAATTTTTAGTAACATTTAACCATCTTTTTAGAACGGATACCGTACTTTATTTAATTTTTATGTTTTGCTTGTATGTGCTGCTATCAAGAAACCTTTTTTTTACTTCTTCATTTGTCTTGATTTGGATTGAATTCTCTTGTTCATCACCAGGAGTGTAATGTGCTGGACTATGAGGAGAAAGTGGTTGATGGATTTTATGATGTATATGGACTTTCCACAGATTCAGCAATTCAAGGAAAAATGCCTTCTCTTACAAATCTCGAAACAAACCTTGGGAGTTCTGGATTTGAAGTTTCATTAGTAAACCGAACAGTTGATCCTGCCTTGGGAGAGTTGGTGCAAATTGCACAGTGTATTGCATTAGACTGTCCTGTCACCAACGTTAGTGTTTTGGTACAGAGGCTTGCTGAACTCGTTAGTGGACACATGGGTGGGCCTGTAAAGGATGCTAATATCATGTTAGCGAGGTGGATGGAAAGAAGCAGAGAGTTGAGGACATCTCAGCAAACAAGTGTATTGCCTATTGGGTCCATAACCATTGGCCTCTCCCGACATCGTGCTTTGCTTTTCAAGGTTAGGTGTTGGATTATCATTTATTAATCTTCTTAGGCAATACTTTTTTGTCTTTCTTGGTTTCTTTTGGCTGCCCCTTATACTGAAAATTTAGGCCATTTTGATATGTGCTATGCTACTGTATTGTACAACCGTTTCATTTCTTTTTCATGATAGAATTTAAACATATATGTCTTCATGATAGAATTTAAACTTGTGTGTGTGTGTGTGTGTGTGTGTGTGTGTGTGTGTGGTCATTCTCTACGCAGAGAGATAGATTTAGAAAACAATGTTTTGTCAGATATCTAATAATTGGCAAATCAATCAGGGAATTCACAAACAGGAGCATATATATATATGGAAATATGGAACTATAGATTGGTATAGTTCTTTGAATTCTGTAATTTGACTTGTCACTTGGGATGTATGTAACCAACTTCTCTCACATATCCCGCTGAGTAGTTATATTTTGTAGTTAAATGCAAGGAGGAACCTTATGAGGGTTAGTTAGTGATCTTACCATTTACAAAGTTCTAGTAAATGAAGTTGGGGCTACATAATCTTGTATATTTAATCTGTTTCTTCGGATGTAGGTATTAGCTGACAATATCAAGATGCCCTGCAGACTGCTTAAGGGTATTCATTACACTGGTGTTGAGGATGGTGCTGTTAATGTAATAAAGTTGGAGGATGACAGGTTGTGGTTTATGCTTTTTTTCTTCCAGGTTTTGTGGTTAAATTGTTGATACATTTTTGTATGATGTCTTGTGTTTTCACTTTTATTATTTTGGCGTGTGCACATTTTTTTAGAGTCCACAAAGCTTTATGCCAAGGTTGCTCTAAAATTTGTACTGTGAATTCAATTTTATTCCAAAATCTCTACCAATCTCCAAAACTTTATCAGTTTTGACTGATTAAAGCTAACTTCAAGCCATCACAATAGCTTCATAATGTGCATTGACATAAGATATTGTGTCCTCTTGCTATTAATTTTGATAGTGTTTCTATAGTATTAGATTTCTTTTGTCTTTTAAGTTCAGCGGCAGTCTCCTTGAAATGTATGTATGCAGATGTAATAATGCATGAAGTCTCCAACAGTTCCCAAATTGATCTGTTTACCCTTCTACATGGTTTTAATTTATAGTTTGTCTTCAGGGAGTTTCTGGTTGATCTCATGGCTGATCCTGGAACGCTCGTACCAACTGATATTCCAAGTGCAAAGGACACTGCCTTTCAGCCATACCATCCAAACTTAAGCAAAAATCCTACTGTCCATTCTTATATCGATACAGAAGTTGCGTACTCAGGACCAAAGCCATTGCATGGAGAGGGTAGCAGCCAAAACTCTGCAGCTGAAAGCAGTTTAGCGTTGGAGAGAAGACCAATTTCAGAGAATATAGAATCATTGCCTACATTCCCGGGTGCAAGTAGTGACACTGGAGTTGGTTCTTCTAGAATACCCAATAGAGGGACTCAGTTAGATCATCTTCCCTCATCAGCCTTCGAAAATTACAGAGGGAGTCGTGGGGCACATGCAGTTGAAGGTGTGACAAGGATGAATGTAAATGTAGTTCCATATACTCAAAACAACTCGGAGGACTCAAAGAACCTTTTTGCCGATCTTAACCCATTCCAAATCAAAGGACCTGGGAAAGCTTCTATGTATAACAAACCTGTGGAGAACAAAGTTGAAGAGCTTCAGAGACAGAGAAATAATGTTGCGTCTGGTCGACCTCCTGCATCATTAATGTGGAAAAATAAATATGCTTTCAATGAAGTCCCTAAAAGAAAGGAGAATGATAATTACATGGATGGTATCTTCCCAAGAGTTAATCGCGAACCTAATGGGTATAATCCATCATCTGCAGCTTCCACCAGCTCTACTGTATCTGAACAGATCAATCCTGGTGGTTTCAAATCAACTGCTCATTCAAATATGTCAGATAGAGATGGCGATGCCAAAAATTATAGGGGGGAACAACCCAGGGCTAAAGGTTATTTACAGAATGGCGCAATAGATGTTAATGAACATCAGAACAATGAAATTGGCTTCCATGATCCTAGAAAGTTCACGCATGACAGATTTATGGAGACCAATCTGAAACTGAAGGATCCAGAAAGTTCTAGCTCATCTTTTGATTCCATTTCGAGCAGGGTTGATCAAGTATTTGATGATGTTGATGTAGGTGAAAGTGAAATTCCGTGGGAAGATCTGGTTATTGGAGAAAGGATTGGACTAGGTAATGTCCATACCTGGTCAAAGTTGCCTATATTGTCTGGAAAACTGCCAGTGCTAATCCTCACACAGCTATAAACTTATTTTTCCTGGGGAGCTGACTAATTTTTTTTTCTTGTTGTCTTGACTAGGTTCATATGGAGAGGTATACCATGCTGATTGGAATGGCACGGTGAGTTTTATATAAACGACTATGCTCTTTCTTATCTCATATGCGGCAAAAACTGTTATGTTTATTTGATCTTTTATTATTATTCTCCTTATGGATTTTGAATCTAGTGCCCTCTCTTTTCAATTTTTTTCCTGATCATCTTCATTGACTAGCACTGCTAAATTGTTTATAGCGATAGAACTTACTTATTAAATCAGTATATGTGATTCACAAGTAATTGATAAATGACATGCAAATTAGCACCATTAGGTGTATGGGGGATTTTAAAGGGGTTGCCTATCATTGTCAATGCACTGATGGCACTATAGAAGTTGCTTTTTTGTTTACTGCGAAGCAGGTTTATATTCATAGTGTATGGTTAGGGATTTTAATCGAAGATTTCCTATATTCAAAACAATTTCAGTGTTCTTTAAAGTTAGCTAAGATTTGTAATTTATAACTGTGTCTCTACTGTCATTATTTCGTGGTGGATTCTGCTTTGTCACTACTGCCTGGAACTATGCATGTACTTAATTCATTGCCAGAGGCTTGAAAGTGTTTTTAACTTTAATTTCATGGGAATTAAATTCGACTGGGGACTTTAATTTTGGCTGGTGAATTGTTGTTGAGTTACAGGAAGTTGCTGTGAAGAAGTTCCTAGACCAGGATTTCTCAGGTGCTGCTTTGGCTGAGTTCAAAAGAGAAGTAAATTTCTAGTCCCTTATGTGCATATGCTGCACTTTTTAGCTTCCAAGACTTCGAGGAAAAGGGGAAAAGGAAAATAAATTACAACCTGATGATAATTATTGTGATCTTTGTTTTGCAATGTAAGGTGCGAATAATGCGTAAACTGCGTCATCCAAACGTTGTGCTTTTTATGGGTGCTGTTACACGTCCTCCTAACCTCTCTATCATTACAGAGTTCCTTCCAAGGTATAATTCTGCACATTGATCATTGTGAAAAGATTATATATTGACTGGAACATGTATACATATTCTATTTTTCATCTCTCTGTTGTAACTGGTCCACTCATACTTTATTTCCCCAGGGGAAGCCTATATCGGATTATCCATCGCCCTCATTGCCAAATTGATGAGAAACGTAGAATAAAGATGGCTCTTGATGTGGTATGAGATGATCTTCCCTGTGTTCTCTGGAACCAGCATGATACATCAATATCCACTTTAAGCTCTCTTTTTATTTTGCAGGCAAGGGGTATGAATTGCTTGCATGCCAGCACACCCACCATTGTTCACCGGGATTTGAAATCTCCAAATCTGTTGGTTGATAAGAACTGGAATGTGAAGGTATCACATTCCTTTTTTTAGTGTTGTTTCTCTTCTTTCTTGTGGATAATGAGATGCCTTGGCCATCTAATTAGTAGTTCTTTGAGATATGCATTATACTTTTTACAAAACTGGATCTCAATTATACAGGTCGGTGATTTTGGATTGTCACGCTTGAAGCATAATACTTTCTTGTCATCCAAATCAACTGCTGGAACGGTGAGAATCTGGGATTATTATTGATTATTTTTTATTTATTTAATAAATTGGTTTTCTGTTGGCAATGAGAAATATGACCACAATTCTTAATCTAACTCTGTCACCTTTTCTTCATTTGCCTGATTGTTTCCATCGATGAGCTAGCCTGAGTGGATGGCACCGGAAGTTCTCCGCAATGAAAACTCAAATGAAAAGTGAGTAGTAATTCTTGTTATTATATTTCTGTTTCTCTTCTTTCAGCTTTGATCGATGGCTTGTTCCAACTATATTAGTGTGGAGAAAATATACAGATTAAAGATTCTCTGAAATCTTGTGTTAAATATATAGGTGTGATGTGTATAGCTTTGGAGTCATTTTGTGGGAGCTTGCTACTCTAAAATTGCCTTGGAGTGGGATGAACCCGATGCAAGTTGTAGGTGCAGTTGGTTTTCAGAATCGTCGCCTTGAGATACCTAAGGAACTGGATCCCCTTGTTGCAAGGATAATATTGGAATGTTGGCAGACGTAAGTTGCAGAAAGTTTAGAACACATACATATTTTTTACTTGTTGAATCCAGTTTAATCGGTTGTTCTTTCTTTCCGGTTAGCGATCCAAACTTGCGTCCCTCGTTTTCAGAGCTCACGGTAGCTCTCAAGCCTTTGCAGCGGCTCGTCATTCCATCGAATCTTGACCACCCAAGCTCACATTTACGGCAAGAAATCTCAGTAAATTCCACACCTTGAAAAGCCTCTCTCCCAACTGTGAATAAGAAGACATTCCGGTTCTGTGCTTTTGAGTTAGGATAGGATAAAAACTCTCAAACGAAAAATCAGAAAGAGTGAGAATGGAGAGAGAGAAAAAAAGCATGTACCTCAATTGTATTATTTAATGCATGCCCAGCTACTGTTGCCCAAAGATTGCAGCAGGGTCCTTTTTGTACAGAATTCATAGTAAAGTTCTCAAAGAAAACTGGATTTGTAATTTATGTGTTAATAATACCTCCAGCCATCCAGATAAATTAATACAAAACTTTGTGTTATTCTTATCTATTTTCTGGGTTACATAGAAATATTTTATTTAGAAACCCTCTTTAATAAATCTAGCCGTTTCTAATAACCTCTGAAGCTTTATTTTCTGCCAAGGCCGACTTCTTCCCTATCCAAACATTTCAGCTCCTTAAACACGCATGACACGGCCAACTTCACAGCCGCTGTTACCGGCGCCAAGCATACTCAATTTCCTCCCCACCGCCGTTCATCTTTCCCAGTTCCAGGCATTGATCCAATCCGACGTTCGTTAATGCGAATGGCTCTATACCAAGGGTGAGATGCAATCACTTCCCCAATGAACTCCACAGCATCGTCTCTGTTGGCTTGGCATAAGTATTCCATCTACAATTAATGTCAAGTCGCATTATCATCCCCTTTTTCCCATGCAATAAAATGATCAACGTCGAGATTTCGAAGGGCCGGAGACTGACCTGTAGTAGTAGAGGCTTCAACTTGCTCTCCATTGCTCACATTTGAACGAATTTCAAAAAGTTCATAGAGACCACAATTTTGAATTATACTGGCTAGTTTCTTGGACTACGTACAACTTTTTTTTTTTTTCTCGCTTCAATTATCAATCCTCTTGGAAATAATATGGTATCTAGCATAAGAGGGTAAATATCGCATATTGCTTGGAGCCGTGAGAAAATAAAGTTTTCACATGAAAACAATACCACTCATGAGCTTACATAAAGGAGAAAATAAACAAAATTAACTATATAACATACATGCAAATTATAACACTGCAACTTCTGTTGATAGAAAACTATAAACAACCAAATCCTTAAGATTTCCCTTAAGATATCCATATTTCCTCAACACACCCTCCCTTTGGAACCCAGATTTCTCTAAAACCCTCTGAGAGGCCTTGTTCTCTACATCAGCAAAAGCCTGCAACCTCACCAAAATAGGGAAGTCATTGAAAACTTGAGACACCGCAATCTTAACTGCTTTGGTGGTAATCCCTTGCCCCCAGTACTTTGCAGCTATTGCATATCCCAAGTCTGCCTTGTACCTGTCATCACCTGATCCTGGAAAAATGGTTACAAACCCGATCGAACGGTCATCGATGCATATCGCCCGGCGCCAAGGGTGGGGGATACAAACATCCTTGATGAAAGTCAAAGCCTCATCTCTGGTTGTCAAAGTCTTCCATCGGAGGGACCGAGTCACTTGATCATCGCCTGCGTATGACATGAGATCATCAACGTCAGATAGCCTGAATGGACGGAGAGTGATCATTTTTGACAAATTGGTCTCCATGAAAAATATGCTAATGACTATGGCAAACACCAACTCCTATGAGTTATGAGCGCCTATAAATATATTTTATCTAAAATCATGAAAGGCTTTGGAATATGAACGTATCTTCTGGTCTTGCCAAGTTTTTCTAATTAAGTACTTTAGTTGCTGCAAACATGGGCTTAACCAAGTTGGCTAGAGCAGATGTACTCCTCATTATGCACCTAATTTCGAATCTCCTTCTCCGTTGTTTGGATTTGTTTCAAATAGATTATCACTGGTACAATAAAGAAAGTGCTTTAGTTGCTACAAACCACTACAGTCTACAGATACATTAACAGCATTTTGAGGTGAGATGCAACTTACAAGGTTGGCTTTAGGGACAACCAAAGTCGATTGGAGAAAAAAGGGCAAATCATAACAAACATATTTTTGAAAAGGACATTATTGTAAATGTAGAGTGTAGAGGCATTTAGCATACAAGGCCAATTATTCCGTTGCATTGGCTCTGGGATCATTAGGCTAATTAATCTAATCTGTTGAGAGAAAACTATAGACAATCATATCCTTTATACTTCCCTTAAAATAAAGATATTTCCTCAACACACCCTCCCTCTGAAACCCAGCTTTCTCTAAAACCCTCTGAGAGGCCTTATTCTCTACATCCACAAAAGACAGCAGCCTCAACAAATCAGGGTAGTCTTTGAAAACTTGAGACAGGGCCATCTTAACTGCCTTGGTGGTTATGCCTTGGCTCCAGTACTTTGCAGCTATAGCATACCCCATGTCTGCCCTGTACCTATCATTGTCTGATCCTGGATACATGCTCACGAACCCGATAGAACGGTCATCGATGCATATTGACCGGCGCCAAGGGTGGGGGATGCAAACATCCTTTATGAAAGTCAACGCCTCATCTCTGGTTGTCAACGTTTTCCAGCCCCGGAGGACACGCGTCACTTGCTCATTGCCCCGTATGTGATGAGATCATCAGCGTCTGATAGCCTGAATGGACGGAGAGTGATCGTTTTTGACAAGTTGGTCTCCATGACGAACAACTAGAGTATTACTCGCCAGTGCTAATAGAAATGGTAAACACTAACTGTTATGAGCAACAATAACACCTAGGTCATGGACCATGGTGGCAGGCAATAATATAGAATGCATTGTCATATGGCACTGAGCTTGTTGGATTGGATATGTATATACAATATTTTTAATGATGAAAAACTTTGGAATTGAGTGTTTTAACATACGGTGGTCTTATCAAGTTTTTCTTAGTGTAATATATATAAGGGAGGAGATTCGAATTTGAGGCAAGTTCAATACGGTGACCAACGGACTTAATCAATGTCAATGTCATGTGTGTCCAGGTTTTTCTATCTACAAAGCCTTCCTATCCTAATAAATTGACATACCAATGGCAACTTGGGAGATAATTAACATAACTTTGAGGTGACATGTCACTTGTGAGGTCATCATTAGGGATAAATTAAAATTGATTGGAGACAAAGAAAATAAAATAAAAATGTCATATTTTGTGAGACATTGACATTGGAAATATTAGGAAATATTCATCAGTTAATTATTTTAACCAGATGGACTAACTATTAAACTAAAACTAAAACTTGAGACTGGAATTGACAAGGGGTGCTGAGGGAACGTGCAAAGGGAATAAATCTCTCTTTTTAATCACAAAACGCAGACAGTACAAAGCAAAACGCTTTCAATTTAATAAAATAACAAAAACGTTGACTTGAAACTGAAGGGCGATTTGGACTGTCCACACTTGGTTTTTGGCTTTTACTTTTAATTGACAAATGTCAAAGAGTTACCCATCCCGACCTTAGCTCAGTTGGTAGAGCGGAGGACTGTAGTTGGTATAACCATCAGATATCCTTAGGTCGCTGGTTCGAATCCGGCAGGTCGGATTTCCTTTTTATTATTATTATTTTTTTTAATGTGAGTGAATCGAATTTGTCATTTCCAAATCTACAGAGCTTAGGAATTAACAAAAGTATGGATTGATTTTATGAAGTTGAAAACTCTGCAAGTTTATATTTGAGAGCTAAGACTGAAACCGATCTTACTGTGGCTTTGCAGAGATATCAAGCGAAGAAGCCATAGAAGAGAAACTGCTAAACGTCCTGCCATAGAAAGAAGGTCTTCTGGGGGAAGAAGCAGTAGGCCTTTTTTGAATGCTGAACTATAAAGATGTTTCAATTTAACACAACGATTGTATTTTCAACCAAAGTGACGTAAAATCAAAGATTCAATTTAAGAACCAAGAGCATAGCATTTCCAAGATAATGACTAGTGTACTGAAAAGTCTTAAATAATAACATAACAAGCCGAGCTACTGTCATGGCAATGAAACAGAGTTCAGTTGCCCCCCTGAATACGGAACAGATTGGAAAATCGCATCAAAGTTGTAAAATTGTACTTTCATGTATTCCCTAATCAAATTTCTTCAACCTCAGTTGCATTCCAAGTTATTGTCTAAACAAAATGTTAAGCCAATCTGGTCCGAGCAAGCAGAATAGGATCATCAAGAGGCAAGCCAACTTGCTAAGCAAACCAAAATAAATCAAAGGCTCCAAAAACTGCAAATTGATTCTTCGAGCTCTGGGCATCTCTCCATGTACAGGGCTGAAGTGAAAGTTTTTCTTCTTATTTTATTCTTGGATCGCTTCAATCCTTTCCACAGCACCTTCATAACAAATAATACATAGACCAATAAGCTTATCAATCTGAAAACTCATGCATATAAATCAAATAAGAAGGATTATTAAGCTAAGTTCTGCCGAGTCTTGGTAAAAGCATGTAAGGCCAAAGTACCGTTTGTATCTCTTCTTGGAACCACATGGACAGAGCGCATTCCTACTTATTTGGCCACTCTTAGCCAAATTAGACTTGGCAAGGTCAAATGGCGTTGAACCCATCAATTTTTGCACCTGCGGAACAGAAATTTTCAGTTAATATGAGTTTTCCATGTTTCAATTTCATGGAAATATCCAGGAAATCAAATTTGCATTTTTTAACTGTAAATAATGGGCATTACCACTTGCTCTATCCACTACTCATAGGGAAACTGTGGTACAGTTCCTTTTTGATAAGTTGCAAAAGCAAGGTTTCCTACAATCCTATACTGTAATCAGAATTTTGTTTTCCATGGATGTTAATGGAAAAAAGTGTATCCAAACAAACCAAGGTCTTCATAACCAATATGCCACAAATTGCCCCTTTTATCACCAAACCCCTCATTTTCCTCATCAGTGCCTACAACACTTACAGCCAACAGACATAACACAAATTTAGTTCATGTAATGAAAGCAACTCACATGCTTCCACTAACATATTAGTTCATCTTAAAGGAAGCAATCACACACACACACACACACACACACTTAAACTCTGGCTTTGAAACTTTCCAATAAGTAGGCATCTGCAAAGAGAGATGAATCTGACCCCGACAAGAGATTCAGGCACTTAGCCAACCAAACGGACGCCGCTGTACTATAAAGTCTCCCCAAAGACAACAAAACAAGCAAAGACACAGTGATTTCAGAAGCTATAAGACATTCTACAGTGGACATCCAATTTCTGCATGTGGTATACGGTCACTAAGGTTTATGCATATGCAGTGAATTTTCACTAACCAGAAAAGCGTAAAGAAAGTGAAATTTGAGAAATAATACCTCGTTAATGTTCTTTGGCATTGGTTTCCCTTCTTTCTGTAAGTTTTCCATCTTCTTTTGTGCTTCTCTAGCCCATGTGAACTTTGCAAGTGCATTCTCAACATCAGCAATCGTACAATTACAATGCTTTGCTGCTTCTTGTTTTTGAGTGACATTGAGATTCTACAAATCAAAAGACCTAAAACCATAATCAAGAGACTTAACCAGACACAATTGAAAAGCATACGCCTAGTATAGATGTTTTTAAATTCCAAATCACAAATACTTTGGACTGCATCCATTGGACTATGAAGTTTCCTTCAGCTTCATAGCTCAATTTTCTGTAGGGCCAGTATTGGCAGTTTGGAGGACAAATCCTCGGGTTTGAAAAATTGGCCAAGAGTACGGAAAAATAAAGCGGAATTATAAAGATAGGATTAAATCCTCTGAGATATCGGATTAGGGCTTCCTTTTTTAAAATTAAAAAGGGAAAACCAACCTCTCCAGTGGAATCAAATCCTCCAAGATATCGGATTATGGCTTCCTGTTTCTCAAAAGCATCGGCAAAAGTAGCTTCACTGCTTCTCCCCACAATATATTGCTTGAATGCCCCTATTCTTCTAGCATTCTTCATCTCATCCGCAAATCCTAGAATCAATCCAACAAATAAATAGTGTCGTTACTAGAACCCATGAACTCCCAACCAATTTCTTAAATTTATATAAAAGTTAATTACATAAAAAAAGAAAGTTAAATCAAATGCTGGAACTAAAAGGCCCATGAAAATGAGCAAAACCCGAAAGGGAAAAAAAAGTCCAAAACAGATGTTCTGCTTCGGAATGAAATGGGTTTGATCGATAGTCTAAAAAGGCTAACCAGATCAATAGCCAATCATCAAGAACACCTAAGGTTATAGGAAAAACATGCAAAATCTGAATGAGATAACGGCCAAAGTTCATATTCTTCTTTAAAATATCAATTGGGTTTTACCAAGAGCTTGAAAGTTTCGAGCACATAAACAGCTAATCGATAACAAAATTTAAATTACAAAAATTAAAAAATCGAAGTTTAGGAGCTAAAGTGGCATACGAAGCAGGGTAAATGATTCAGGGCCAGAGCCGGGCTTGGTATCATCTGAAGAGGTCTTATTGCCGGTGAAGACCCCTTTGATCTTGTTCACCCATGAGTTATCTAGGTGTGTCGTGGAGAAGATCGAGCGGCAAAATAATGGAGCAAGATGACAGTCATTGTAAGAATGGTCAGTGAAAGATAACAGCAAGTTTGAGTTTTTCTTGCATAATGTGTTGCTTAGGATTCGTGAAGAATGATGCATTCTGGAAATTTTTCCCCTTTTTGGTCTCTGTTTTTTCTCTTTTCTTAGGATTTAGGGTTTTAGTAGATACGGGGTTTTGGGAACAGAGACGAGTAGAGTGTAAAATCCTCCTGACGTCGTCGTTTGACCAGGACCGGGCCAATTAAAAGACTTTACCGGTGTATTATCAGGTTGTTAACGCTTGCGGCTTGCTATTGCTAATTGCTATTTTTTTGGGCCAATTTATTTTACTTCTGGAAGTGTTATTCAAACTCCAAAAACGTAATCTTCACGGAGTGCTCTACGAAATAAATTGTGAGACAAAATTGAAGGTCTGTGTTAATCCATTGCAAGTGTTATCAGAATCTTCCGAATCTTGCAACCTATTTAGCAAGTAATGGAAAATAATGAATCGCTTATATAAATTCATGTGTTGTCAGAATCTTACAAGTTACCCTTTTATCTATTCAAGAATACAGAGCAGGGCTCAGCCTCCTGCACAAACTGATGATCCATAAGTAAACCCCGATCTACCACTCTTAGAAATACAATCATCAATAGGAGGTCAATGGCTTGACATACAAAGAAACGGTGGCCAAGTTATCAAACTAATACAACACGAGCACTGCAGCCACCCACTGCTTCACATCCTGCATCTAAATTAAGGACGAAAGACAGTAAAAAATGAATAAATTCTGCCACTCTAAGCCTTGGACCGCCTAAACTCAAACCAGATTTCATAGTGATTAAAAAGCAAGCTATCATGTGTATGCTTTCCAATGTACTCCAGGCCCAAACTCTTAAGCCGCTTTGTACATTCGTCTCCTCCCAATCGCGAACAGAACTTAATATTATGGGACACGAAGATTCGCCCATCAAAAGGTTTCAATTTATTTGTCAATCTCTCTAATCCAACCCAGACAAGCTTATCAGGCATATGAAGAAACACTGCACTAGCATAGATCAAGTCATAGACAACTTCTGAACCAAATCTGCTGAAGTCCATGTTGTCGCCTTTCACAATCAAAGGGCGCTTGTGCAGAAGACCTTGGGAAGGGAGCTCATATCTGAAGGCAGCCATTAGTGATAGCTCATCTCTTTCAAGACAGTGGAAGTGTCCAGCATTAAGATAGCGAATGAAATGCAAACCAACTCGGAGGGTACCACAGCCAATCTCAAGGACATGTGAGTCAGGCTTCAGATGGGTGGACTGAGCGAGGAACTCAAAAACATCTCGCCCACCTGCCCAAGGCTCACCATAGTTACTGTGGTGCTCTTCAGTAAGGAGCTCACCAGGGCATGGGAGGGTGGTGTGGTTTTCCGATTCAGGTCCTTCATAGTGAGATATACCCTTGAATCTAAAAATCAGAAAATTTTGGTCAAATTTTTGCAGGAAATCATCCATAAATTCACAGAACATGAAATGCACAACTTTCCAGTGAATCATTTAACAACAAACATGTGAACATGCTGCACAGAAAAGCACGAGGAGAAAAAGGTTCCCAACTAAGAGAATACTCCAGTTAAAGAAATCACCAAATAACAAACATAACACATAGAAACACTTATCAAAACAAAAGAAATAGAAAAAATCACTTCAAAGACCTTCCATGTTCTATAAACCTAGAAAATGATCAAAAACTTCATCTTTTCCTTGTTCTCCCACCTAACCCTGTGGTTCACATAAACCAAACAGAGCACTATGGTACTTGTCAAACTCAACAACTAAAAGAAATAGTGTAAAGAAAGTACAGAAATTTTAACCAACAATTTTGAATTAACCTTCACAGAACTAAACACAAATCAAACTTTACTGAGGTAATCCCATGTAAATCGAAGTTGAATGATCTAATCTCATATCTCTCACATCCTCCCTTTGACACAAATGCACATAAAGCATACGAACTGGTACTTAAAACTTAAAGTCGACAACTTTGAACCCAAGATTAGAGAGTTGATCCAAGTAAACTTAGAACCCAAGTTCATGCATTTTCTTGTATATGTTCACCCCCCCTCCTCTTTCACATTCAAGAAAATATGAACCCTTTTCTAAACTCTTTTGAGGCAGAATTGTAGACCAAATCCCAATACCATCACAAAAACCAATTGAAGTCCCAAATCCCAAGCCCATTGCACGCATCCAAAATCCCCATTTCCAATCACACAAACAAATACAAATATAAATGACAAAGAGAGAGAGTACGGACTGTAAGAGATCTTGGAGCTGCTCAGCTCTGGTACGAGGGTTAATTCCTTTACGCAACACGTTATCCTGCATATGCAACCCATTCACTCGGATCTGACCCTTCACCCACTCCACATCCTCTTTCGACGACCATATTGACTCTCCTCCACCCTCTGACACGCTGACACGTGTACCACCACCATCGCCGGCACGTGTTACACTTACATCGCCGCCGGTAGCAATAGCAGGAGCACCGCCGGCGTCGGGGCCACCACAAGAGCACGACAACGACAAAGAGAACAAGAGGAAGAAGAAGAAGATTGCGGCCACTGAGGCCGCCAGAACCAGCGCTGGCACTGTTATCACTATCCCCTTTGGTGACGATGTTGATGATGACGACGACCACAGAGCCATGTGATGTGTATGTATGTATGTCGTCAATTTACGCCAAGTCTTCAAGACTGAATTTTAGGTCTGCAGAAAACACTGGAAATTTTGGGACATTGATTTGGGGCCGACACTTGCGATGTCGTTTCACGGGGCACGAAGAGTTTTTATTTAACTTTTGGATTCAACCTTTCATGTGATTGGTGGTGGGGAGACTTGTGTCGTCTCTTCTCTGACGTTGTTTTGAGTAACATGCATGCTACGGTGTCGCATGGAATATGTTTAAAAAGTATAGCCGTGGGCATCAATCCGGCGGAATCAATTAAATTAGTGGATTTAATTCGTAATTATTAGTTTGGTTTGGTTTTGATTAAAAAATAAAAAAAAAAAAAAAAAGTTAAATGGTTTAAAAAGTAAACCGAATTGTATATTTTTTAGTTTAGTTTAATTTTAAACTTTTATAAACCGAACCGAATTGTCTATCTGCATATTTATTTATTTATATTTAATTTTACACTTGTAGTCCTCTAATTAGAAAATAACTAGAAATGAATGTTGAATTGTAGCTATATTAGTTATTTATTGAAATTTAAAGTTTTATTGTAAGTTGAGTTTTAAGATGGTTTGATACCTTAGAAAATGAAAAAAAAAAATATGTAGCAAGTTGTGAATTTATTGATTACAATTGGGCTAATAATGTTGAAAAAATACAAAAGAAAAAAGATTTGGACTTAGGCCCAAATCAGCAGAACTAAATCATTTTAAATTGGTTTGGTTTGGTTTTTTTTTGTAATTTTTGTCAAAATCAAACCGTTATAATGTAATTGGTTTGGCCGTGATTTTGAGATGAACTTGATCCAATTCAGATCGTGCCCACCTCAAATAGCCGTGCGGCTATACTTTAAATATTCGTATATTATTTCATTTTATTTTAAAATACATATTTAAACAATATAGCCATGCGGCTGTGTTATTTAAAATGAATTTTTGCCTTTTTAATGTGACAATTTTGTCATATTATTTTTGAGTTTAGGGCTAAAATACCACGTTAGTCTAATGTTATTTCTTCAATTATTTTATTTATACAAGTGACATTGGAGAATGAGAATTTAAATTCTTTTCGATACCTCCCATTCTAAGGAGGTGGTTTTTCTCAGTGCTAAGTAATGAATCACAAATGGAAATGTGTTAGACAAGGCTCAGCTCATCAGCTCATCAGTAGTTTTAGTAGCTTTTGTGTATTCCTTATAAGATTGGGCTGCAAACTTCTTGTGAGCTGTCGGAGGACTAGAACATAAATTGGACCAACCTCGCGGCCTTGATCTAAAAGCTCAACTACTGTTGACATGCCCGCAAGCCCAGCTCCAATTATAGCCACTTTGCTCGGGACCTCGGTAGTGTCCAGGTGGAAACAACCCTTTTGGAGCCAGCAGAATAAACATTCATCTCGTAATACTAAATTAATAGTGCTTCCAGTACCAGTTTCCTCAAATTCATTATAGTTCACTAAAAGAATACCCAGAAATAAAAAGCGACTGAAATAGCAATAAAAACAGAGATAATTGTCAAATTGAAGCTAAAATAGATGGGAACTTTACCATTTACACTCATGTCAGAAACATTAGTGTCCAGAGAAGACCGAACGCAGATGGAGGAGGGCCTCTCAGTTCTCACAGTAGCCACTAGACAGCGACCGGTTACTGAAGCTGCGGGTAAAAGAACCCAAGAGCCATAGATTGAAGCTTCTAAGAATCAACAACTTAAATTGAGCTCTCTCTCTCTCTCTCTCTCTCTCTCAGCAGTAGTTTCTGTAAAGAAAGTGAAATATTCGTATATATTTAAAGTGTATAGCCGTGCGGCTATACTATTAAAATATTCCAATATATTTAGAGAGAGTGGCCGGGGTAGCTATATTTTGTCTATACTATTTTTCAAGAGTATAGCCGCACGGCTATACCTAAGTATTCGAGTACTTAGACAGTATAGCCGAGCGGCTGTATTGTTTAAATTTCAAAAACGTGCTATTTTCAGGAGTTTTTGCGTTGTGCTTTAAATACCATGTTAGCCCAATGTTATTTCTTCAATTATTTTATTTATACAAACGACATTAGGAAATGATAATTTAAATTCTTTCTGATACCTCACATTCTAATAAGGTGGTTTTTCTTAGTGCTAACTAATGAATCACAGATGATAATGTATTAGACAAGACTCAGCTCATCAGTAGTATTATCAACTTTTGTGTTTTCGCCATAATCCTGACTAAAGTTATTTCTTCAATTATTTTATTTATACCAACGATATTGGGAAATGAGAATTTAAATTCTTTCCGATACCTCATCTTCTAATAATTTTCTTTAATTTAACATGTTATATTATCATAACACCAAACCAGCTACTTAGGTGGAATCATTTTAAAACAGTTGATAGAAATGAGATCAAGATTATTAGAATAGAATCAATGACCCAAAAATGATGAAATGAGTCGAAAAGTTACAAAATTCTGTTAACAATTAATTGAACATAAATCAGCAAGCCTGGCCAAATTCATTGTATAAGGGATCGTGTAAACAAATAATTAACAGACCCCAGTTGACCCTAGTAGTAACATACATAATCACACAACACTCTTGTCTTGTAAAACAAAACTCTAACTATGAAGTATAAACCCAAAAACACGCACACACATCTTATTTCTTACCATACCACATCTTATTCTTCCTCACAACTCAGGCAGTTAGATTAGATCAGACATCCTTCTTCTATGACGACCAAGTGTAACTCTCAAGTTTGGATCAGATGAGGTGACCAACTTGCTTCGCGTCTTGGATGATTCCGAGACATTGCATTTCGGGCTCTCTGCAGGGAGAGTATCTGCTGCTTCCTGGGCGTATCGTGATTTTCTGTTTGAGTTTTGTAAGATTGCTTTGATTTGAGGATCTGAGTAACTCATGGATTGTGAGGCTGTGAATTGGATTGAACTTCTGGCCACAGACCTTAAACTTCTTGCTTTACCAACAACTTCTCTTTCTGCAGCACTTTGCCTTTGTCGACTGGCTGCAGTGGAAGTCATGAACCGAGGCAATGAATTTGAAACATTGCCTTTACTTGCTTTCTCCGGCTTTCGAGGCATTTCTACAGCTTCCTTCAGATATTCTTTGGGACTAATGGGGGCCTTCTCATCTTCTAAAGGTCCATAAGTGGTTGAGAAGAGCTTTCTGTTTTCACGTAACAGCAAATCGACCTTTTGTATCTGGTTTTTAAGTTTATGGCATTCTTCTTCAGCTTCTCTCATGTCTTCTTCAAGTTCCTTGACCCTTTTCTCCCTGTGACTCTTCAAGTCCTAAGACAATGCAAACGGTTACGAAGATTCACAGCTAAGGGAACCAAACAATTACCAAGAAACTGCAGACAAGTACCTCTGATAATTCCCTATTACACTCTATAGCTCTAGCTCTCTTAGCGAAGCTCAAAGAACATATCGTCTCCCCAACATCTTCTTCACATGGGCTGACATGCACCAGCATCAAAACCTTCGAACCAGCACCTAAAGCATTTGGATTACCAAATAAATATCAAGCACTGTCAAGTCCAAATGGTGAAAAGGGTGTGAAAATCATGCGAATATGGGATCATTCTGCCCTGCTCACGATAGCAATTGAAGGCACAAACTTAATGATTTGTGGTGGAGTCATTACCGCATATTACATATGTAGTATAAGCTCATTTATACAGATTTCAAAATTAAAATTCTAAGTTAATCAAATTAAATAACTCTGAATTGTCTGTATGTGTAAAGAAACTCAGATCCATAACAAAATTCAAAGAATGTGGTAATCTACCTAAGGAATCTTTCAGGATTTGCGTAAGCTTGCTGTTCCTGCAACCAAAATTTTAAAGTCCATCAGATTCTAGCTGAATCAGCACGCAAAGAGAAAAACCTCAAAAGGCCTGTCTTAGAGGAGGTTATAACCAACAGCACAGATCCACTCACCAAGGGAAAAAATAAAAAGGCAAAGGGAAGAAGGCAACTAAAGCTGACAACCAACTTACCTGTAAGGCACATGGCCTCGCTTCCGTCTTAGAGCAGCAATGACATCACCCAAAGCTGAAAGAGAAAGATTTATGGCCCTTCCCTCATCAAGTGTTAGTCCAGTTGCTCCTGTTTTAAGCAACCGTTCACTTCCTCCAAGATCAACCATCCACAGTTTACCTACTTCCCTTTTAGCTTCCGAAGCATCCCCGTGCCGGAATATGGTTATCCTCGTTAAGCTAGATATATGAAGCTAAAAAGATAACGTAATTATCGACCAAAATTAATCCAATGGAAAATTGTGAAAAATCTAACTAGACCTGGAACCCACCAGTGAGACCGGCTAGATGACTCATTTACATTAGTCCAAGAAGTAGATCTAACTCTCCTCCCCCTATTATACCACCATCTAGCTTTAGCAAAATCAACGATTTGCACTTCCGTAAGACCCTCGATTTCCACTAATCCCTTTGGATCTGTTTGAATGTTGAGATTGCTGTAGTAAAGTTAGCCAAACCAAAGTAAGCAGTCTAATAAATGGCCTGCAATTGTCGCCTCCTCTAATGAATTACTCAGGGCACTAAAATGAAAGTTTATTACCATCTTGTTACAGCTTCATGTGGCCTACAAGCTGGTTTTGGGGACAGTAGATCTCTGAGACTGCCCATGTAAACTTCTAACATGCTCATTGAAAATGTGATATAAGATGAGCTATCCAAAGAGGCTTGACAGAAAAGCTCTTTGAGAGCTCGAGGAATTATTCCTGGCTGCTCACTTGTGCCATCCTGCAGATGCATTCAAATCCATCCTTCACACATATTTGAAAAACAAATATACATCAACCAGATAACTGCAACAACCGCTGAATTTTAAGTTTCTATCACTAACCATGGTAAATGTCTTGCCAGTGCCAGTTTGACCATGAGCAAATATACATACATTGTGCCCATCAAGTGCAGATCTGAGAATTGGTTTCACCTCAGCAAATACATCTTCTACAGAATTTGGAAACATGATATAGTCTCTCTTACTACAACTGAAACAATTAATTAACAAATAATCAAACTTGTAAAACACGCATAATCTTTTTTTTAACACTAACCTTGGCTGGTTTCTTGAGGAAAAACCTTATCAAAGTCAAATCCTTTTCTTGTTCCAGCTGACTTAACCACAATCTTCTCCGATCCAGCTGAAATGGGTTCTCTGATTCTTCTCTTGTCCATCAGTATAAATGGTCGGACCCGACAAAACACTCGAATGCTGCCTGAACATTCACTTCACTTAATACAATAAAACATAAAAGCGTTACAGGTAAATTTATGATTAACCACACAACCTTTGATGTCTATAATCTTATTCAAAGCTTCTCTCCGTTTCTCATCCCACAACCTCTGCCTCAGCTTCAACTGTGAGATTTCACCTACAAACCCAATTGGCCCCAAGATCATATCAACTGCTTGGACTAAGACAGTGGCCTGATCACTAACTTGAAACTGAAACTCAGAAACTTTACCTTCAAGATTTGATATGGACTGCTGAAGCTCATTCTTTTCGTGCTCGGGGATGACATTGACATCAGTACAGATGGTGGGAAGAGGAGGTGAATCAGAAAAATAAGAAACTGGGGGAAGCCCATCAATGGAATCTGAGTTTGATTCCATGTGAGATGTTTGAAAGAACTCTTTTGCACTAACTGAAACCAGTGAGATCTGTTCATTTTCAGTTGAAATGAGCATTTCTCTCACAGAATATAACTGGCCCCTTGAAGAAAGATGAACTATTGGGGCAGAGGAAGAAAGAGATTTAACTATTCAACAGAAATAAAAAGAAAATGTCACAAAACCAAGATATTTATATGTAATATACAAAAAGACTCAGTAATTTTAGATTACTCTAAACCAAAGCAGTTCCTTCAATCAAGCACAACAAGAATTGTTTGTCTGTAGAAAAGTTACAGTTTGGTACTAGAAGTAGACCAGTCTATGTCAATAAATGACCCAATAATGAAGAAACTGAAAGTTTATATAAATAAAGCACTTCCAAGTACAAGAAAAAGTTATACAGACAAAGTAAATGAGGGTCATAAATCTCTCATATTTAAAAGCAGCCAAATAGAAAACCTCAGATCATATTTGAAGTAGAAAATACTAAATTTTGCTCTGTTTAAAAAAACAGAGTAAAATAGAAATGGCAGAATTCAGCTAGAGAAGAACGAAAAGTCAAAAACTGAGCACAGATTTCGAAGAACCCGGAGGAAAAATGGAAACCCAGTTGGTGCAAGTTACTTTCAATGATTGAATACTCTATAGGACCAATGATTAGCAAGCAAGCAAGCAGGTGAGAGTCCTTGTTGCAGTTTTGAGGGTTACTAAGGTAAATTACACCCCAAAAGAAAGAGAGGGAAAAAAAAACATGTTTTTTTATATTCTTGTTTTGGGTGGTCAAGATCTAAAACTGAACTGTTTAAAGTAGTTTTTTTTCCAGACAGGGTACAGGACAGAGGAGCGTGTGGAGCGGAGGGAAAACTTGCAGTGCTTCTACTGTTTACACCCATTACATTTAGCATTACACCCCACCAAACTTTTGTTTTTTTTCCGTAAATCACCACACACCCCCCACCAAACTTAAGACCATCTCCAATCATGTTGGAGCTCAACTCAAATTTTCACCCTCCAAAATACAACTATTCATGTATTTTCAGGACTCAAAATTTTTTTTCCTCCAACCTTGTAGACTCATAATTTGAGTCCGCAAATTTATTAAATTGTTTAAGAATGATTAACCTCTAAATTTTGTTTCTTGTTAATTTTTCTTGACATTATTTTTGTTTCAACACTCGTGATTTAATTTTCTAAACATTTTAACCTAAAAAAAATAAAATTCCAAAACATAATTGAATTTCACTTAAAAAATAAAAATAAGTACAATACCATACGTATGCCCGGAATAATTCGAACTCTTCATTGAATTATGTAAGTGTGTTTAAATTATCTAAGCATTTTTAAATAAACGACAATCATTAAATTTTGCCGTTGAGATTGCTTAAAATTAATCATGATTATTGATTACAAATATAGTTGTTGGAATGTTTAAAATAAAAAAAAACAAAAACAAAAAAAACAAACCAGCAATATCATATTTTTGGCACAAAGTTGCTGCCCAAACAGTGTAACCAAAACTGGGCCCAGCAAACGTTGTGCAGCACATGGGCTTCAGTCAGAAAAAAATAATTAAAAAAGCAGATTTTGGGCCCACAAAATTATCAGTCCATGCAAAAAAGGGACTGGAATTCCACCAAAGATTTGAGATTTCTCAAATTTCCACCCCCCAAAATACATGGGTTGGAGATGATATTTGGAGGCTAAACTCAAAATTTGAGTTTCCACACCAAGAGTTGGAGATGGTCTAACCACTCCACTAGCGCTTATCCTCATTTATTTCTATTTTCAAAATTAATTTTTTTTATTAATAAATAATTACAACTCAGCCAACTTTTTTTCGGCCCACAAATAAACCGGAATTTGGGCCTTGGGCTAATATAATATGTAGTTGGATTGGGGCTTTGGGTCTGAACTAAAACCTCATCGGCTATTGTTTACTGACTGAGGAAGGCCCATTGATAGAGAACAGAATCAGACTTTGGTTTGTTAATCCTGCGTGTATTTATTTAGGGTGATTAGTTAAGAGTAATGCTACTTTTACCATATTTATATATCACATTACTTCAAAAAGTGTCAATAAATTATAAAATAAAATAAAATATTAAATTAATTTTAATTGATGTGCTGTCTACCTCATAAAATCAGACCGACTAGATGCCATAAGAGTAGCATTATTCATTAGTTAATCAATTTCTTGAATATAATTTTTGTTATTTGTATGAGATGAAAATATATAATTTCCAAAAAATACTGAATGATTTTTCACATGATTTAGTGTATTTTTGTATATTTAGGCATTTTTAAATACATTTTATCTAGTATTTTGAAGGTTTTTTTTTAATAACCAACGTAATTTTATTATCCAAATTCAATATACAAGATGATCAAAGTTCAAATTTATTTGTCATAAATTCTTTTATCCACATGCAACTTAGAGTAGGAAGAATTAGAGGATAAGCCTTCATTCATAGTCTAATAAATTTAACTTTACAAGGCTATTAAAGTATATACTGTGGTCTTAGTCAAAAATAAATATCATATATAAATGATTTATGTAAGGGAGTAGCTTCTATTTAACATTTCCAATAAATGCATTTTCTATTAATAAGAACAAATAATTTATTCGGAATTTAAATAATTAATAGTTGCCATCTCCGTTAGCACTTGGTATTCGCTTTCAGTGAGTTGACATTTGGCGGGGGCAACCCAAAAAAACACCGCAAAGTGGTCCAAGTCATGTGGCACGTTGGATGTCTTATCGGAATTTCCAGTTTGACCACCATGTGTCAATGCCTACCACCTCACCAAACCTATTTTGCATACGCACACTATCCCTACTCTTAACGGGTGAGGAGGAGAGGAGAAAAAAAACAGAAAAAGAAGACATATAAAATTACAAAACTATGCCTACTGGGTGATAAGTATTCGTGAATTCACACAATATGATCGTTAGCTTAACGGGTGGCTAACATGTCCACTAATGATAGAGTCAAAAAAAAAATTACAAAGGGGGCACCTCATATATTGAAATTTATTTTTCTTTACAGTGACATTTTAATTATTTTTTTACTTGATACAAATTCATAAATTTAATTACTATACTCTATTATTTTACATATCACATTAACTGTCTACTTATCATTCATACTAGCAAAAGATATTGCATACACACAATAAAATTCAAATGGTAATTTATTACTACAATTAAAGTCAAAATAAGACAAAAAGAGAGTATGGGTTGGGTAGTAATAATAGTGAAAAAGGGAAAGAAGAAAAACATGAAAGGCACTTTGAAGTTTGATAAAAAAAAAATATGTAATTGTGTTAAGAAACCCAAGGTCTTAAGAACATTGAGAGGGGGGCATAGGACCTCCCCTGGGCCTTAGCTCCCTCTGCCCTGATGTCCACCTATTTTCAACACGACTCGTTTCTGACCTGAATAATAATTTTTTCATGCAAATTTCTTTTGTGTTAACAGGTAGTGTATAATATTGTCATGTATACATTAAACCAGCAAACATGTTTTTTTATATAAATTTTAGTAAATCAACCACAATTGGGATGACACGCCAAGTGTTAATTATCAACTCATTATATCAATTTAGATAAATATGGGATGTGTACTGGTTCATCCTTACTTTAAAAAAAAAAAAAAAAAATTATTTGCTACCTATTATCTTCTTAATCTCCAACTTTATTATAGGACATCCCAAATTCTGCATATCTTTTTTTTTTTCTAATGCAATCTCATGCAATTGGGGAGTAGACAAGCATAGATATATTTTGCAAAATGCTGCAAGAAACCCCACCCCCAAAATATGATGTTTGTGTTCTAATATTCACTTAAAGGAAATGATTATATGACTGATACCAAAAAAATAAAAATAAAAGACATATGAAGTTAAACTTTGATTATTTTTATTAATGGAGGAGTGGGTTTCGAAATTATGACATATTTCAATATTAAGATGAGAATGTGAGGATTTTAGTCATTTTAGAGTTGTGTGTGATTCTCTCTAAATCGATTTAACATGTTGTTGCATTTGGTCATTGAAGAAGATTTATCCATATTATGCACATAGTTGCTTTGTACTTTCGTTTGTTTATCAATAAAAACTATTGCTTATTCTTTTTCTTTTTTAATGATGAGAAGCCAATTTCCTAGATTTGTTGGCTTTATGATATAACTAAGGCCATCATGTCTTTGATTCGAGGATTGGCATCAATCAAATTAATGTATTATCAGAAAAAAATATTAGGATGAGAAATATAACTATTGATTGAAAAAAGAAAAAAGAAATACCACTATATTAAAAACTAGTTGATACTAAATAATTGATTGTTTAGCATGGATTAGAAAATTTAAATGCTTATAGTTGGAGGATGTATTACATATTATCCTATTTAGTGTATAAAAGTTTTATTTATTTATTAAGAGATATGAAGAGGGTTTCTCACACATACACTACCAATGTGTCATAATCAACGACGAAGAGAATTTCATGTGTGGGGACCTCTTACAAATTATAAAGAATAAAAAATTCAAACTCACAATACATACGATATATATATCTCATATGTCAAGAATTATATTGCTTATTGGTTGCAATCATAATTGTCCTCAATAATGGGATAGACAAATACATTCTAAGTAAGAAAAATTGGAAGAGATAGATAAAAAGTGGCGATTTAGCAAATATCTTTAAAGCTTTTCTTCCCGTTAAACCCAATAGAAAGAAAAAAAATCAAAATTTCACAAACTAAAAAAAAAAACTTAGGTCCCTTCATGCATTCATATTATACATGAAAAAATGTTTTATGTAAAAAAACTGACTAAGTATGAAAAATGGTTTTTTAGAATAATTATTTTCTTAAGATCATTTTTGGTGGCTTTTATTCATTACGCATCAAATAAGAAAACTTGATTTTATGGGATTTTAGTATGAAGTATATATTGACTTAATGAACCATCATTTTTACCATAAATCGTATTTTGCACTAAAATCGATTTTTCATATTTTGATTTGGTGCGAATTTGATTTTATAGTATTTTTATTTCAATTTAAATAGGAGGTACTTCCTTATTTACATTGTAAAATTAAGTAAATGAAGTAATATAAAAATAAATGAAAGTAAAAAGATCAAGATATTTACTTTTAAAATATACAAAAATTGAGTGGGGGCCGAGGACCACACTGGTCCCAGTGTGGCTCCGCCCTTGGTCATAATGGTTCGAACTTAAGACAATTTGTTTGTAAATTAAGATCTT